TCCTTCTCAAGGGAAGTTGTAGGAACTGGAGAGAAACGTTGCTGGGATTGGTAGAGAATTTTCCCTGCAAAGGGTCAACTGTGAAGCTGAATTTTGGGTAACAGGGTGGATGAGGGGAAGATGAAAGGGGAAGCAGAGGTTACCATGTTACCAAATACCAGGTGGCATTTGGAGACTTCCTCTAGACCACTTGAGTTTTGTCCTGTGGACCCATAGGACACTCTCCATCCTCTTTTGGTTCAATGTCAGGAGATGCTTGCAGTAGTTGATCAGCTCTAATCCTTAACCTTTCATTGGTGCTTGACTTACCTACTCAATGGGTAAAACATTGAAGTACTAAACTAGCTCCTTCTGGTTAATTGGTTGATTGGATTGGAAATTAGAACCTGGAGCTGCTCAAGGCACGGTATCTGGTAATTGTGGATGGGGGAGATGACTGGGGCAGAACTGAGCCCTGTTTTTGCCAACATAGTACCAATGTGTGATATACTACTGAGAGCACTACAAAATTAAAGGTGCCTTTTAATCTGGGATTGCAAACTGACAGCAGCCTGTCTGGGGAGCTCCATGTAATGAGTGTATTGTCTCCAACAGGCCTCAATGACTGATAGGTGAAAAGCTGTGCCACAGCCTGCAATTATTATGCTCACACACAAAAGAGGGCGGGAGTGACAGCGTGGTGATCTGCCAGTGCTGCCTGTGGGGTTAATGGTAAGCTTTCCCACTGCTAGTGGTCTATAAAGAGAACAAAGAATTATGTTTATTGATTTGCGAATGTTGAACCAGCCTTGCATCCCAGGGATGAAGCCCACTTGATCATGGTGGATAAGCTTTTTGATGTGTTGCTGAATGCTGAATCCGGTTTGCCCAGTATTTTATCCGAGGATTTTTGGCATCGATGTTGCATCAGGGATATTGGTTCTAAAAATTCTCTTTTTTTTGTTGTGTCTCATGCCAGGCTTGGTATCAAGGATGATGTTGCCTCCATAAAATGAATTAGGGAAGGATTCTCCCTCCCTTTTTCTATTGACTTGGAATATTATCCAGAAGGAATGGTAACGCAAGCTCCTCCTTGTAAGCCCTCTGGTAGAATTCAGCCTGTGAATGCCATTCTGGTCCTGGAACTTTTTTTGGTTTGGTAGGTCATTAACTTTTCCTCTATATTCCGAGCCTACTGGATTGGTCTATTTCAGGGGATTCAACTTCTTTCCTGGGTTTAGTTTGGAGAGTGATAAGTGTCCAGGATTATGCCATTTCCTCTAGAATTTATTCCGCAGTTGATTTGTGTAGAGGTTTTATAGTATTCTCTGTGGTACGTTTGTATCTCGTGGGGTCGGTGGTGATATGCCACCATTTTATCAATTTTTAATTGCGTCGATTTTGAATTCGCTCTCTCTTCTTCATTCCTTTTATTAGTCCTTGGCATAGTGGTCAACTGTCCAATTTTGTTGATCCTTTCAAAAAAAAAAAACCACCCTCCTGGATTCATTGATTTTTTGGAGGGTTTTTTGTGTCCTCTATCTCATTCAGTTCTGGCTCTGATCTTAGTTACTTTCTTGCTCTTCCGCTGCTATACTTTCGAATGTGTTTGCTCTTGCTTCTCATAGTTCTTTTAAATTGTGATGATTAGTAGCTTGTCAATTTTAGATTCTTCCTGCTTTCTCCTTGTGGGCATCTTAGTGCCTATAATTACCTCTACACACTGCTTTTGTGTCGCCGCAGAGATTCTGGTACTCGTTGTATCCTTTGTTGCTCGAAATTGGTTTCAAAAGAACATCTTTATTTCTGGCTTCAATTTGCGTGATGTCCCGATTGATCCATTTCCAGGAGGCAGGTTGATTCAGTTTTTTCCATGTGTTTGAGCGGATTTGATTGAGTTCTTATTCCTGAGTTATAATTCTGTTTGTGCGGCATGTGGCGGGGCGTTTTGTTATAATTTCTAAATTCTTGTACATTTGCTGAGGAGTGCCTTTAGCTTCTTACGTGGTCAATTTTGGAGTAAAGTACGATGTTTGGGTGCGGTGATATTCTTTTGATTGTGAGAGTTCTTGATGTCTTTGGTTCCTTTTTCAGGCATAGGCATGGGCAAAGACCTTCATGTCTATAAACAGCAAAAGCAACCGCAGCAAGACCAAAATTGACCAATGGGATCTAATTATAACTAAGAGCTTCTGCACCCAGCAAAGAACTCCATCAGGTCGACAGGCATCGAAATGGGAGAAATTTTCAATCTACTCATCTGACAAAAGGCTAATACCGAACCAAACAAAGAACTCCATTTACAAGAACCAAACCAACCCGCATGCCAAAAGTGGGCAAAGTATGAACAGACCATTTCTCAAAGAAGACATTCATACAGCCAACCCAGCCTGAAAATGGCTCATCATCACTGGCTCAGAGAAATGCAAATCAAAACCCCCACAATGAGATACCCATCTCAGCAAACAGTTAGAGATGGCGATCATTAAAAAGTCCCAGGAAACATAGGTGCTGAGAGAGGATGTGGAGAAATAGAACACTTTACAGCTGTTGGTGGGATTGTAAACTAAGTTCCACCATTATGGAGAAACAGTAGGGGCGATTCCTCCCAGGATCTAGAACTAAGAAATAAACCATGGCCCAGCCTCACTTACTGGGTATATACCTCAAAGGATTAGTGAATTATGCGCTATACCCCAAGACCACATGCACCACCATGTTTTTGGCGGCACTTCACAATAGCAAAAGACTTGGAATCAATCCCAAATGTCCCCTCCCCAGTGACAGTTGGATTAGAAAATGGCAGC